AGTTTGAGCCTTGTTTAACAGAGCCCCATCTGTATTCTGAAGACCGAGCCCATTGTTATGTAGGTAGCAGGCCCTTGGAAATACTCAAATCCCAAACGTTGACACTCATCAGCAGCAACCAGCAGTCCAAACTCTCATTCGAAAGAAAAAACACGTGATATTATTTTGGTGTTTCGGACGTAAGAGCATGCCAGCTGATTTGCATCGCCGTCATCTGCAGCAGTACTCTATCCTATCCACACTCCACGTTGCGTGCTTCAACTGACCCGTGAGCTACTTTCTCCGTCGGTATTCGGTCAGGGTCCAAGGTGCTGTTCGAGTGTGGCCCGTATGGATGCAGAAAAACCTGTCACGCGTTGTTTCCCATCACCCGCTCAGAGATGTATCCATCATCACCTGGTTTGCCTTCTTTTTGGGCTGTCAACGATTTGGTGAGATCTTTATCGTTATGGGAATGAATAAGGTTATGCCTCTCCTTTGTAGAGAAGACGCATGTGTAATATCTCGTGTGTCGATTGGAACATGCTGCGGAATAATTTCAGCTGTAGTAGTTTACGTCTACGATTCATAAGTGTGTCTCTTGTCTCGACGTTCGGTGATCAACCTCACTTCTCGTGGTCTCGTCGGACTATCCTTGTGCAGAAGGCTGTCCTTGTCGTACCTTGGATATTGCTGGCTTATGGCCTAGACTTGTTCATCTGTATGTGTTGGCCACATTTATGCACGCTGTCTTCGCACCATCGCATCATCAGCACCGAAGCACTGCTGTAGTCTGCGACTGTTGCTACCAAGCTACACGAGCAATAACAGCTTCACGAGCAATAACACCGCCTAGCGTCGGTGGGCGTCAGCTTCTGCTGCGACGTGCTGGGATACATGTACCGCACGTCCCATAATATATTATGAACCCGTAGTAGCAGTGTCTCAACTTGACGCACCTTCCAGTCCGTTTCAGCTGCAAAGGCAACCACCATCCGGACGCTTCGCAGTCCCCAGATAGAAACGAAGGTACCACCGCAATCTCTTCCATGAACTTGGTTCCAGTGCTGAGCGGCTACTCTGGCCTTGTACGTGTTGTACGACTTCGCGTGAAGTCCCAACCTGCCGTGATACCACATACATGCTCTGCGGGTAGAATGTGTATGGGCAGACCAAAGTAGAGAGTGCACGAATTCGTTTTGCGTTTCGTACTGGCCCTGTACGTGTTGTCCGACTTCGCGTGAAGGCCCAACCTGCCGTGATACCACATGCTCTGCGGGTAGAATGTGTACGGGCAGACCAAAGTAGAGAGTGCACGAATTCGTTTTGCGTTTCGTACAGGAACCGCGGTGCTTGGTGTCCGATGACGCGGAGACCCACACAAAGAAGTTGGATGTTCGTGCTTGGGGAGGACGTCTAGTTGGCCACAGGGTCGACACGAGGTCTTTCGGATTTACAATCCAGAGAAAACGAAGAGTGCGCGAGGGATCAACGCTCTGTCGATAGAGACACCGATTACCAAGATCGAACAAGGAATCGGACTTGAGGGGCACAAATCCAACTTCGATGAGCTTCGGATCACACAAGTTTTAATGTCTTAAGCTATTCCGTACAGAATATTTTCCAGCTTCGTCACACGTTGACCTCGGTTCTCGTTAGTGGTCTCGATCCACCCCCCCCATAAACTCGGGACGCTCATCTCGTGAACGTCGTTACCAATGACGAACCACCCAAGGTTTCCATTTCTTCTGGGCGTGCTGCATCAACATGGCCGGCGCGGCTGTCCTCCGCCTCGTCCTCTCAGCGCCACGTCCGTTCATGTACGACCAGCGGCTGCAGCCGCTGACCGACCGTTACGAAATGAGCCACGGCCTGCCTTCTCTAGAGACCCACATGGCGACGGTGGTGGCAGGGTGGTGGGCTGAATCGGGTGGGAGCAACAGCAGCAGCACCGACAGCGGGGTCGACGACGGAGTGCAGCCGCTCTTAAGGCTACTTGCTCTCGGGTACATCGCTTTCGTCGGATTCACAAGGTGCTAACACGCTGGGGGTATTTGTTGACGGAAGTGGGAGAGGGTGTTCTATGGTATTGACAAAATGTTTCTATTTGCGTTGGGTTGGTCGGCTGGCAAGCGCTCTTCCGAATCGCGCGGCAGCTGCCCTACCCAATGATGTGGTCTTGCATGATGTGGTACTGCGAAAGAGACAGATTACTGTGTATCTGTCCGGTCCTCGGCGTCATGCGACAACTCGGGCATGTCTTATTTCACTTCAGGCTACGGATGACATAGATTGCAGCAAGGCTGGAAGTGAAAGGCATGTAGTCGTGCGCACACGAAGAAGGGGTATGGGGGGGGGCTCTGAACCCTTTTGGCGCCAAAGCTTGAAGGCAAGCACCGCAGGAGGAAAGTGGGGAAGGAATTCCTCCTGTGTGACCCCGGTTTGTGCGTCAACCATGTTAACCTACCCAAGGTTATAGTCTAGACGTCTAGACTAGCGGCCAGGAGTAGATAGAACGGAAAATAATGTTTGAAAACGAAGGGCTTGCCGTAGTCCTCCACTCGATTCAAAGCCCACAACTTCCTTTGCCGACAACTGCCTCTCGTCAGGTTCCTCGACGAAAACCGGTTTGTCCCCCCAAAGGGCCGACCGTCAGCGCAACTGAATGCCGCTACTTCGTCGTATTCCACCGCCTTCAGGGTTTACGCTTGCAGCCGGTTTGTCCACCAGGTCGCTCTGAGCACCGCTACGGGGGCTATAGGACTTGCCTGGGGCTGGCGGCTGTCGACTCACTTGGATGGCCTGGCCCTAACGATGAGGCATCACGTGCGTGGAACTGTGGTTGTCGTCATCATCGCGGTGAGTCAACAATACCTACCATGGCATTAATTTTGCAACGTAAAGAGGCGGCGGGACTCTTCTTTTTGCGAATGGCCAATGGATATCAACCTTGACTGCATATGCACGGTTCAGCTTGATGGAAATTTTATGTCAACCACGTACTCCGCACCCGTGACGTATCGAATGAAAACCACACGCAGTCATTTTTACCAAAACTTTGACGGCTGCTTTTGGTTGTGCATAAATACACCTATTATTCCAGTTGGGAATGGTGGCCTACCAGGTGGAAAATAACGAGAGCCAGCTGATGGGAATAAAGAAGCACGAGTACCTGAGGGTACTCTCCGACATCGTCAAAGAATCCCAACAGGCTCAGGTGATCGTATCGGAGTGGGGAGCAAGAGACTGTCCGGTGGTGCCGTTATGGGCGTTCACGCGCGCGGTAGACAGCCCAAGAGCGCATGCATGGCGCAATAATCCTCCACGAATGAATCCCGGCCATTCCATACAGTGTATGCGTTGACAATGGGCGAACTCATTTTCTCAGGGGGTTACTTGGCATCAGTTCATTCAACGAAGCGCACTGTTTGCTGGTCGTTTTCCGCACTAGATGTACTGTGTCACGTGGAAACCTCAAACAATCCAGGAAACTCTTTGAACTACAGAAGCGTTAGAGCTGCAAAGCATGGTGCCCATTTTTATCGACCATCCCGCGTTTGCAGCAGGCGACGTTCAGACAAAAGGGAGGTCAATGCACAGAGTGTGGCAGGCAAAATCTAACTTGCACGCGAGCGTCCGAGTGATGACATTGACATCACTTTCGCCCGCTATTCGATGGCCTCGTTGGTCTGTCTGTGTTCACAGAGCGCTACTGTGGGGGGAACAGAAAGTAATGAAGTAGCCCAGGACGGGGAGTGGCTGCTGCACGACGGTGCCCCGTGGGATGGAAGAGCGGTTTCTTCTACGAGCAGGTGCCAGTTGATGACCAAGGGCAAGGTACTCTGTACAATAGAGCTCGAAGGAGCGTATGCTGCGGGCGAGCTCCGGACAACTGCATTTTTTCCAGGTTTCGGGGTGTTGCGATATCTAGCTCAAAGTGATGGATGCAGGCAAGGTGTCTAACTTGAGCAGCATCGCTCAGTTTGGAGTGGTGCGCTTGTTGACGGGGGAATGGTTTCAATCTGACCGAGGTTTGACGTAGACCGATGGAATCGAGTTGCATTGCGCGATGCAGGATGCCACCCTCACGGCTATAGTTCATGATAATGAACTCGGTCAGAATTCCGATAGCATCGTGGACAAACAATGATGTCACTCAGCAACAGTCGCCGCAGCCTTCTCAACCCACCCATTAACCTAGTTGTCTCCACCCGGCGGTGCTACGTTGATGACAAAAACAATAGGCGTCAGCGCCTCGAAGAACGAAGGGACTCTTTCCACTTCCTCCAGAAAACGGTGGAGCGACGCGCCGCGGAAAAGGCCGCCGTTTTTCCCGGCGAATGGACGAGCAGAAGTCGTCCACAGTCTCCAGCGGCGTGGGGCGTTGCTCGGGAGCAGCACCCAGGCATTGACGGTATCGGCGTCGGCGGAGTTCGTGGCAGGGGTCTCAAGAAAGAGAAGAAAACGTCGCGACCGGGGAACGGAGGTCGCTACTTCGGTGCGGCGGAAAGGGCTTGGGGGGTTTCGCTGGGGTAGAACGGATACCAGATAGTCTAGGTTATCCTTTTTCTCGCCGAACACCCGGTTGGTGGTTTAAGGCTCGAATACAAAGTTTAAAGTCGAAGATAAACTGCAACATCAACGACAGCGAAAAGTCGGTGAAGCGAATGGATAGCAATCATTGACCAGTCTGGTAGCACCGCTGCGCTACGACAGGAAAAGGACAGCAAGGAGAGCGGAGATAATCATGTGGCCCTTTCGTTTCGAGGCCATCCACTCGGTCTTGCACGAGCCCGTTGGACTATCAATGCGCGGATACAACAGTTAATTAGTGGACCACACCTTTGAGTGCGTGATTGTTCTGTCGTTGCGGGTTGGGTTGCCCACGCCCGAGTTGTACCAGTCTGGTGCGGGATATCAGTGCATGTGGCTGTGCGGAGGTGGTCAAGCATCCAGGTTCGCAGCAAGCTCGAGCAACGATTCTCGATAGCCCACGATGCATTGGAAAGTTACACTTGGTACATAATCTTTATTTCAATCAAATTCTGGGTGAACACTCTCTAGTTCTTGGACAAAGAGACGCCCACGTACCCCAAGCTCGTGGCTTGGTACGCTCTGTGCTTCGAATTCTGGGCTCACACCTCTACTCTATAGTTGTTCTTGAACCTTCAACAGAGAACGCCCACGTGCCTCAAACTCGTGGCTTGGTACGCACGGACGGCATCCACAACCACACGGCCACCTCGAGGGATCCTCTCGCAACGGCGAGAAACACAAAGTCAAAACTGCGATTACGGGCTCTGCAACAATCTGGGAGTGCCACGCTATCGTTGGTATTATAAACCAAAAGGATACCGACACAATGTTCTCAAATACGACAGCAAATAATCGAACCTGAAGCATTCCGAACCGATGCTCAGCTGGGCAAGCTTGGCCGAAAAACGACCACTACCACATTCCGCGTCCGGCGAGCGCACCACACGGTGGATTAAATATGCTGCTGCCTGTGTAACCTCTGGGTCGGAGTTCTACATTGGAGAGGCAAGGCCGTGGGGAAGCTAACTGGAGCGACGAAAATAAACACATACACCAGAGGTCCATGTACAGACGGAAACGCTGACCCTTCATCGCGACTAAGGCTATGGAGGCGCCTGGGACGTCTTCGGTTTGAGCATGTTGCGACGGTAGCCTTGCTGGTCCATCGTGCGCATCTGCAAGCGGTATGTTGCGAAATCGGGGACAGGTGAGAGAAAAAGGAAAAAGGAATTTACCTCGAAAATGTTGATGCACAGGAAACAATACACACGTACGAAGGCATTCAGGGAAAAACCTCATATCCTCGCATACCTTGATTACATATTTTGTAGCTACTGCCACGTGGTTTGCAGATGGGCATGAAAACGTTGTGAACGGAAGGAGACACGAGGAAAATGCAAACGTGGGACAAAAAGGCGCCCGTTGAACCTGGGCGGCTACTGTAAAACGCCTACGATAGCGTGCCAACGGCGACACGTACGCCAGGGCTGAAAAAAAAAACCCACGTGTTTCTGCAAGTTGCTGATGGCGTCCACTTTGTCGGGGATGTGGACGTATCTGATCATCTTGCCCTGGACTAAGACCACGTCCATCTTCCTCACCGAGCCCTGGCAAGCGGGGGCAGGGAGGAACTCAAGGTTATTGTAATCAGGCTCTGACATGGTGCCGGCAATGGTAGGGGGGGGGGGGGGGGGGGGGGGGGGGTTTTTTTTTTTTT